AGCATAAAAAAGAAATATTCAAACAAATCCATCATACATTTGAATTCAATTTTTTAATCAATTACCAATAAAAATCAAAAATGAAACAGATGACAACAGATTTAAAAACGCTCTAAAATGGCATTTGACACAAAATGCTCTCTATGAATTCAAAGATATCTGGGCTAAGCAATAACAGCATTGACTTAAAATGTTTTAGTCCTATTGCTGTTTCACTGAACTATATTTTTGTTTTTTGTTTTCACTGAAGTATACTTTTGTTTTATACCTACTTGAGAGATGACTGTATTGTTTTTGTTGTTTTGTTCTTGTGTATTGTATTTGTCTTTTATTTGTGTTTATATTTTATGTAACGATGAATTTGACACCATTCTTGTATATACAATATATACTAATGAATAAAGATGTTTTAAATTGAATTGAATTGAATACTCCCTAGTGTAGATTAACGTCTGCACGAGTGAGTACTACGTCTATCCGCAGTACTATCCTGATAATTAGACCAATTCGTATATACCAAGGCAAAAATGTGGTTCGGATTCCACTAGAAACTGTAGGTCCCTTAGTTGCCATTAGCTGTTTGGGCTATTAATTAACAGCTGTGTCTAAGGAATATGTCGGCCTTAGTCACTAACAAGACTAAAAGATCGCGCCACTCATCCTACACGCATCTCCATTCATACTTGGCTTAAAATACCTACTTTGTATGGTTGCCATTTCATCTAAAAGTATAAAAAAGTATTAAAGTATTTAAGAGTTAAGGTGCTTTAATTTTGATCATTATTTAAGGGTTTTTTTCTTCCATTATTTTCCTTCATAATAATTTATAAAGGTAACTTAATTAACTGTTAATTGTACCATTACAGTTCATGGACAACTGTTAAAGACTGAGATACTTTGACTACGCCCTCAAGATGCTAACTACGCATAGTTTTTCATTTACGCACTGCGTTTTTGGGATCAAGTTAAGGCACTTGTTTTATTACGAATATTTTTCTATATTATCACGCCGATTTAGATTCTTTATTTGACTGATTTAACTTAACAAATGAAATTGAGCGTGGTGTGACTAATTTTTGTCTCCTATTGGATAGACTTTTCCAACTATACTCTATAGAAATTCGCACTGATGTGAAAATCACCTCTTCTTATGAAATTTATCTGACGTATAAAGTGAAGTGTGTACTATACAGAACCAGCTACTAGTTTTATAGTCAGAGCTTCTAGACGTCAATGTTCAAATAGAAAAGGAAATATCTGCTCACCATGTACAAATGGACATCTCAATCAACACTAATAACTATTTTGTTGATGAGCAAAATGTTTTATTAGCTTTGAAGTTTGAATCTTCTGAAATTGTATTTAAAAATTACCTAAGCATGACCGTTTGTTAAATATATATGAGGTTATCCTAGCTTCCAACCGTAGGTTAATTGTAGAAAACCACAGACTGAATAAATTAATACATATAAATTGAGCTTTCAAATAATGCAGATATGGTTGAATAACCTAAGGTTTGTTCTTCAGAAAGAGCTCCAGACCAGCCTGTTAATGAGGGAAAGTGGTTCCCTGATATTTTTATTAATGATCACTTCAATTGGTTTAATTCTGAAATTTGTTGATGTATAAAAGATTTCTTGTTTGTTGGTCTTTATGTGAGACATCTTTTAAAGTTGTGTGGTTCTGACGGGGTTCATGTTTAAAGTATTTAATGTTTGATAATCAGAGGTTGTACTGCAAAAGACAATGTTCTCATGTTTATATGCTTACACTGTAAAGCATAATAAATATTTATAGCTTAAGCTTATGAGATAAAATAAGTATTACTAAATAAAAATTTAAGAAAATATTTGAATTGATAAATAATGTAATTATAAATTTAAAAAGTCAATGATTAACAGATAATCATAACAAAACAATTATATAAACCCCTTAAATAACTAAACTAATAAAAAATGAATGTGTATGAGAAGGGTAAGGAAATAAAAAGTCAGACATTTGAGGTAGTAATGGTTACATTTACTTTAAAATTCATATTTTCAGGGTATCTCGTAACTTTAAAATATGTTTTTGCAAATTTAAATATATATTTTTTTATAATACTGTACAACAACACAGCTTTTTTTGTGGCTTTTTCATGTTGTTTTTACCCATTATTAAAGATGTTTTATTTTAGGTTAACTAAATAGTTACAGTGTCATACGAACACGTTAATAAATCATTCTAAGCCTTCAAACGATTAAACGACTAAATAATACGCCTCGGAATATGAATAGGATATATAGAAGGTACTTACATAGTTGTATAGTAAACAAGTAAGAAAAATATTCGTATTGTTTGAGAAGACTATTATTGGGGACGAAACCGTGGCCACTGACTTCAAAGGTTTGCCACTAAGCGGCTTTTAAAACTAATATTTATAGATTCTAACAGTTTGAAGATAAAATGTGCTGTCAAAATGTCAGTCAATTGAGCCAGATATACAATTGAATTTATTTTCACATAAGGTTAACAAAAGAAAATTCCGGGAACATTCTTAGAAAATTGTTAACCATAGGGAAGAATCTATCACTGTAGCAGTCGTATTAAAACTGAAGACCGGATCTATGACATAATAAGTTTCCATTTAAATGAAAAAAAGAGTTTTAAGCTATACCATTCATTATACTGAAACAAACACTAACTTTTGTAATGATTCAAAATATTTAAAGTTACCCGAGAACGAATGTAATTGTGTTAGCTTCCAAATTCTTTATGAGAAGATAGTCACTCAAAACTGTGATACACAATTAAGAGACTAAGCGCTTAGTCACAATGTAAATTCGCTTAATAAAAAAAGTATTTATTTATCAAGCGTTTTTCAGACACAATTTCTGCTTTTCAAAACAACTCTTGTCTTTAATACTAATAAACTGCGACGCTACTTTCTGCACTGGAAAAATAATACAAGTGCGTGCAGTCGTCGCCGTTTGCCGGGGATAGCTCAGCCTACAATGGCTGGGTAAAATTCCAGGGTCTGCGATAAGGTCAGGGAAACCACTAGGCCAAAAGCCGGGTCTAACCGGTATAGGACTGGCTCATACACGGGCACTGTGAACAAGTAAAAAACAAGTCACCAAAACAAACGTGCAATAATCACTACCAGGCCTACGCCGATTCTCCACACTCCTAGGGGGTCGTTGCTGACTACGCAACTCGGGCTTCGTCCTAACTATCCAATAGTTAAGCCCAGAGTGCCTAAAACACGGTGAGTTACACGACGACTTGCCAATAATAACCACAACGCGTGTTATCACCAGGCGGGGTCTACTAGGCCACTATAATCCAATACACAACTCTAATACCCAAGCTAAGAATCAAACAGTTCACTCAATAATCGTACCACATAATAATATACAAGTACACTATAGGTAGAGTGACTACACCACTAGTAGCTGGTCTCAATAAATACCAAGCCAAACAAGCAAAACTAAATAGCAATTGCACTATTAAAATATTGAGCTACTTAGTAGCAGATAAATAAATATTAAATACGTTCCAAACACTAGATAAATATATTATCTGATAGCCGGTACTCCGCTATCCAAGCTACCAAGATAACGTGTTGGACTACCAAACAAGCTGTTCAGGTTAAATTAAAATAATCAAATGAATAAACAATAACAACCCTACTACTGTTACTGCTACTACCAACTTTATGTTGCTTAGCTGGGCTTCTGTTAATAGGCTAATAATATTAGCTACTAGCCTACTGGCCACGTGTTTCCAACTACGCACGCTAAATCGTGCAGCCTAGGTTTGTCGGGCCTCAGAGTTATTAGTAATGTAACTAACTTTTGGTACTATACGCTACCCAGTACCCCTGTATGGCCAATCACCGGAGAGTAGGTAGGCTAGATTTAATTTGGACTTATTATTCTTCAACACCAAGCTAACAGCTAAGATGAGGTTTGCTGTGATAACCTATCATTAGGTGATTTCCCTCAGATGTTAGGATGCTGCACAAATTACTCCAATGCATGGTAATAACAAATTATAATTTAATTCTTCTAAATAAACGAAAATCCTTTATAATCTTCCTTATAAATGATATCTAATATTACTATATCAGTAATTAAATGGCAACAGTCTTACTTGGTAAAATTCCTACGGTTTGACTGGCTTAAATAGGCTGTGATTCCCAGTTCCTACGGACTATGACTGTTTCAAGTACAGTAGGCCTAATGCTTGAACTCGTCTGTAACAATTTCAAAAGAAATAATAACAAGTAAACTAAAGTTATACTAGTTTCACATAATTGAGGCAAACATAATTAATTTAAGGTGATTTTACAATTTATAAAATATTCTCAGAACATGTGCTTTTTCATCCAAATGTAACATGAAAGTTGAGTATTTAATATTTGACATTTACAAAGTTATTAACTGACAGACAATCAAAATAATATATATAATCATAGGTAAAAACATGGCAAACAAGATTATTTACAATACAATACCACATAAATCAATTTTCTTATATTTAAAATGTTTTCTACTTACATTTTCACGAGTTTGTACAATTTTTAAGGGAATCAGCCAACTAAGAAAGATTTGAAGAAACAGCTCATTACAAGAATGACTTTAGTTAATTAACAGCTGTTCTCCAGTTCTGCCAACAAGGTGAAGTGTAATAACAGTCAAGCTAGTTAGCCATTGATCATGATATTATATGTACATTATATATTCTGTGAATTAAAATAATTTAAATTTAATTAACATTTCCCTTACATCAGTATAGTACAACGCAAAATAATATCTACCACAGTCAATAAATTATATTATCTGCGCTCTAGCGCCTGCCCAGAACCGTCAGGAATATACTTTTTATTCCTGACACCTGTAAATAAATCCTAACTACCGTCAGGCTTTGACCAGCACGGTTACAACTCTAACTCTCTTAATATAATAAAACGTCGTCCACTCACCACAAGTGGGTCACTGACTCACTACCCAACTTGAATGCCGACACTCACTGTCACACCGCACAACAGTAACACCAACGTACTCCAGTGCACCCGTCGTCTCAGCCAGACACCAACACTCGCTCTTCACTGCACGGGATCCACCACTAGAATGTCCATCCTATACTGTCCTGAAGATCTAGGATATCCCAGGCTTATCGGCACTGATAAGCCGGGTCAAAGGGCGCTCGCTAGCCTCGCTGCCGCCGCTCGCTCACCTCAACAATCGGTGCGCGGCCAAATAGCAAATATTTACCCCCCTAGGAAAAAGGCTCGTTACAAAACTATTCATAAAAACTAACTATAAAACAATATATAAAGAATCTATGAAAACAATCTATACCAACAATCTATTTAACAATCTTAAAATATTAAAAAATCTATAACAAACATTACTTAAATTGTTTCATACATGTAAGATGATGTGAAAGTTTGAGTTTTCTAACGGATTTAGTTAAAAAGATATTAAGCCGTTTCCAGACTTTTTTATCACCTTGTATGTATGTATATGTGTTGCATAAAGAAGTGTTATTTTATTTTGTTTTAGTGCTCAGTATGTTGATTTATGTGGGACAATTTTATTTCATTAATATTGAAGCCAACCCAGCAGACGGTCGTATGACCATTGTTGTATGTGCATGTATCAATCCATCGTATCCATTTCATGTAACCTACTGTACATAATATGTATTTAATTAAGCACTTTTATATTCTATTCTATTCTTCCAACTTGGCGGAACGCCTTCGCGCTTTACTGCAGATAACCATTCATGATAAGATTGTTGAGGAAGTAACCTATGTTCACATAGGAAATTGCCGGTGTGGGTCGTATTGTTTAAATCTAACTTAAAGAGTGATAAAAAGCTTTATAAAATAAAATTATAAAAAGCTTAAGGAACCTAATTCCCAGAAAAAAACCTAATGCTTATTCTAAGTAGGCTAGGAACAGCTAAATTACTAAACCATCCTATCAAAGCAGGCAATTAAAAAAATAAAAAAAATAAATAAATTTAGTAAATTCACTAACTTAGGCTACTGAAATTCAAACATCACAATGCTTCCTAGAGCTTTTAGAGTTAAAATTTAAAAAAAATACACAGTTTGTGTGTGAGTATTCAAGCAAATGTTCTGCCAATCCGTTGTAATTTCTAGGCCTACAGTATGTACTGTTGTAACTATTTGGTAGTGTAAGTTGCACTGGTAATAATGACATGAATTAATAAGCAGTGAACTTTATTTCAAGTTGAGGTAGGCTATTAAGTTAATATATTCTGAAGAAGAAAAAACAAAATTTTGCCAAGTTTAGCTAACCAAAAATATAAAAACGGTAAGTGACAGTCGCTCTGCTACCAATTTGTAGTACTTGCTACCAATTTAAAACGATTAATGCGATTTTTCACTTGTTGTTACTATTGAAACTGGCGCGATGGGGCTGAGGAATAATGGAAGAGTTGTTTGGATAGAGAGGGTTGTGTCATGGCAATATATAATAAAATTAACAATATGATTGTGGAATTACGAAGGGCTGTAACCGTCTATTTTAAAACACAGGTTTTACCTTGATGCTGATCGTGCCCCTTGCCGTAAACACCCTAAGCCAACTTTGATGAGCTGTGATTTAATAATTTAAAACGTAAACCCCTTATAACTAAAAACCTGTAAATGTAAGACTTGCTTTGATATGCATAACTTATAATAAACTGACTATAGAATACTGAAGCCTTGATTGAACTATTGTAATTAGGGAATGCATTACTCGGGTTAAAGCTGAGAATTTACCAATTTAGAACCATGTGAATATTGTTACATTATTTAAAAAAAGTTTCTTGCTGGTAACTCTTAAGGAGAACCCGACATTGTAAATTGTAAAACTACACCCTAAAGGCTATGGTTTCTCCCTGAAAACCCCTAGCAAAATATTTAACAATTTCAACTTAAGATTTAACTATTTACTAAATTGGTCTTGGTTCCAGGTATTATTATGAGATCTACGGTAATAGTTTTTCCCTATACATATGCCCTATACCTATGCTATTCCCTATACACTATGCTAAAAGTATACACTTTTTCTTCAACTTAAATCAAAAATTATATTTTTTTAATGTTGGTTATAATTTCGAATACTTGTGTCCCCAGGATGTACATTCAATTTGGCATTTAAAATCCCCTTTTATAGTTATAGACCAATTATAGTTTCCAGCAACATCATTTTTACTTTCTCCCCCTATACCATAGTATATGGAGAAAGTATTGTTTTCGTCAAAATTTTCGAGTTTGAGTTTTGAGTGGATATATTCGTTTTGGGTCCCCCTGGACCCAAAAAAGTGGTTTTCAAAGTGATGTCTGTGTGTGTGTGTGTGTGTGTGTCTGTGTGTCCGTGTGTCTGTGTGTCTGTGTGTCTGGATGTGTACAGAGCTAGAGACTACACCTGTGGTCCGATTTCGATGAAATTTGGTATGTAGGTTCTAATTCATGGTATCTCCAGGCGTTTTTTTCATTTTTTTGAAATTTTGATTTTTAATGGGGATTTTCCCATAAAACCTATAAAAAACCGGAAAAATCGGATTTTCTCGAAAATGGCCCGAACGATTTTGATAAAAATTTAGTATGTTGTAGCCCTTTAAATTCTGAACAAAATGCTACAAATCCCATTTCTGTAAAAATTACGGTTCAAAAGTTATGGTAAATTATGTTATTTTCCCATAAAAACCCCATAAAATAACGAAAAATCGGATTTTAGACAAAAATCCAGTTTTTATTTGACATAGTATGTTATGGTCCTTACAATTATGATATTTTTTTTATTTTTTAGAAATTCTTATTTTTAATGGGTATTTTCCCATAAAACCCCATAAAATAACGGAAAAATAAGATTTTCCCAAAAATGGCCCGAACGATTTTGATAAAAATTTTGTATGTTATAGTCCTTTATATTCTGAACAAAATGGTACAAATCCCATCTCTGTAAAAATTACGGTTCAAAAGTTATTGTAAATTATGTTATTTTCCCATTAAAACCCCACAAAATAACGGAAAATCACATTTTCCCAAAATTGGCTCGAACGATTTTGATAAAAGTGTAGTATGTTATAGTCCTTTAAATTCTGAAGAAAATCTTACAAATCCCATTTCCGTATATTTACTCTCGCCGCTTACACATGATAAAGGTTGTTGACAAACTTATGGGAGAAAGTATGTGTCAGAATGCTGATACCGTTTATTAGTTATAAAATCATTTTAGCCTCTGGATTGTTGGTTATATATAATTAATTGATAATGTAAAATCTTACTTTAGCTATCCTTATTATCCGATATTAATTTCGGACCCGAAGGTCCATCTTCAGTCAGAGTCTAGGGAGACCAAATACTTATAATAGTATCCACCCGATGGGTTTCTTAGAATGTATGTATGTTGACATTTATTTAACACAAAACAAAATACAGTCGACACGAATATGGTACAGAGATAAGGGGTAAAAACCATGGTTTACAAAATGTGGGATAACCCCACTTTAGTCATGTAACACGTTGCCGGCAACTGTCAAATTACTCAGGATTGTAGGTTGAGTTTATGTTAACATTTGGTTACGGGATGAAAAAAATATTGTCTTTGATGTATTTGGATTGATGCGGCTAGATGTTTGGTTGATTATTTGTTTTCAGACGTGTGTCAACAATTATATTTGCTGAAAAATTACGTTGGTTATTGAGGATTTCAGACGGATTGGATTTAGTGTTGCTGTATATATGAAATTGCTAAAATTTGTCCAACTTATTGTTTTTGGGCCTTTATGTAGAATTTCCAGGTTTTGGTCTATGGTTGAGTATGAGTGGATATAATTTTTTAGGTGTTCGGCGTATGTGGACTGGTTTGTATCGGAGTTTCTGGGAAGGTGTTTTTTGTAACGTGTTTTGAATCACTATATATAATAATACTTAATAATCACTAAACTTATAATTACTTAGTAATATAACTTATAAACTAATAATATAGCCTCCACAAATTAAAATATTATAGCTTTTTTAAACAAAAGTCTGACGTAATAAGTTCTACATTTTCCAGGTTGAAAGTTTAGAAGGACAGAACTACCTGAAGACCAAGAAGCTGGTGTCTTTGAGTGCGGGGAACGTTCTTTACTGCAGTAATTTTGATATAGAAAATGGCGCATGTTTATATGGGGGAGATAATTTGGCTGGATTCAAGTATATGAAGAAAGTCGGGGGAATTGACACCGATGCCTGCTCCCCTTACGACCCAGATGTAAGCTGATATAAGAAGTAGATGATTTGTGGGTTGAGTAATAGTTAAAGGTCACCTAGATATATTTTTTATTATATATTGATAACCTAGGACACAAGTCCTTAGCTTGAGACTTGTTAGCGAATTTCACATATAGGGAATAAGCTATTACCGTAGTACTCATTGTAGGACCTGCACCCGGGACCGATTTACTTTTTCGTTTTGAGGTCCCAGAGGCCAAAAACACCATCCGTTCAAATTCACACATATGTATATATATATATATATATATATATATATATATATGTGTGTGTGTGTGTGTGTGTGTGTGTGTGTGTGCGTATGTGTGATTTCGTGCTGCATAAGCTGTGGGGACATGAGTGTGAATGTGACCAGACTGTGTGGACCTGGTCGCTTATGTGGACATCACACACGTCCACACAATTTTAACAGGAAATACATTAACTGTGTGGACTTAGTAATGTCTGACTAGTGGCGCTCCTACAGACTTTTTGGTGAAAGTTACTATAGTAAGTCTCTCTAAACCTCATAAACATCTCATAAGCTTTAGAGACATCTCCATTTTCAAAGTCGAGATTTAAATCACTGTAAGGATAATATTCAGAGTTTAGAAATGCTTTGAGATTTTTTAACTTATAGTGATCAAATTCATCAGTTCTTTTTCGTGCACTATTATCCCTAGCTGTTTGGAAACCAAATATAATATACCTAGGCTTCTCCAAACTGGAAGATGTCTTTACTGACCATGTATGTCTTGTGGTATTGGGATATGATGGAAGTTCATGCAGCTCTAAACTTCTAAATGCAATTTGCAAATTTTTGTTTTGCAATAACATCTTTTGTAATTGTAACTTCTCCCCATCTGATGGTATCACATTTGGCATCACCCATTGAATCGAGTTAAGTGTAATTTTAGGAATCGTATCAGCAGTGCCACTGGCTGGAGCACTAGTGCTTGTTAATATACAATTCAAATCATTTTTTGATTTAATGATTCTCAATTTCTCCTTTAATATACAGATAACTCCTACATGGGAGAGTTAGCTAATCTTGATTATTATACATATTCGAATTTCATCAGAATTATTTATTGCCAAAGTGTTGTGTAGAACATAGGAATGATTTGTAATTCAAACCACACTATCGTCGAATTGGGTTTTCCTGTAACATCTATAAAATCTCCCATTTTTAATAATAGAAAATTTTAACTTTAGTCCTATGGATTTTAGGAACCTATCATTTTGCACACTTATAAATAGTTGCCCATTCTTTTAAATTCCCATATCTTTTTTATATGACAAGTAATTGTAGTTTCTTCTCCGTTAAAGTCAATTGCCTTGTCGTGCTGGTCGGCAAATGTAATGCTGACAACATCTAAACTTCTTGGAACTTCAATAATCTTGTAGCTAGGAGGAGCTTCTGGATAAATACTGTGTATGGTGTGTGATTTGTTTCCATTTAAATAAGACCTATTTGCAATATTAAATTTTTCTCTAATCACATTTACATTATTAATGTTTATTTTATTTGTAGATTCAAACGGAACACCAGGAGTAGAAACTCCTTTAAATCCCAATAAAACAGACCCTAAACATGGTTTTGTGAAATCAAACACGTGGCTAGAATGTAATGTCGCTTTCTTAGTTGTATTATTAGCTGTAAGGAACAAGTCTGGGATTTGCTTTTGAATTTCCTTTGCAAGCTAAACAACCTCATACGTTCCTTCAGAAATTTGTTGCCTTTAAGTTGATTTAATTTTGAAATAAGCCCTTTGCATATTAGCTTGACTTTAGTCTTAATTATTGTTTCTCCATTTTTATGTACTATAACTTTAATTTTGCCATCTAAAATGGTGCACCATTCTATAGACTTCATACTTGGCTTGTTTCACAGTCATTCTCTTTAGGCACACGAGAAAGACTTTCCACCAACCACTGAAATCAGGCTATGTCCTCAATAAATAATACCCGAAGTCTCGAGAATTGAACTTGGGACCTCAGGCTCGTGAGGGTTGAACGTTGGCAACGAGCTAACTAGGCTTCCAGCATGACGTGTAGCATCACTCTTGCAAGTTGCACAATTGGCCACTATAGAAGCGCTCATTATAGTTCTTCGTCTACAAGAAAGCATCATATTTGATTTTCAAACAGTATTTTAATTAACAAAAGTTAAAAACCTATGTTATTAGTTATCAAATTAGAGAAAATAAAATAAAAGATTCATATTTATATACAAATCTTTAGAATGTATGTCATCTTAGGAGATTTAATCATTTAAACAAATGTATTATATTTGTAATCATGAAACGTGCCAATACCCTTATCTTATGACTCACTGATAACATCTGTAATTAGACACCAGCTCTGCAATGTTAATAATCTAATCAATCGCTACTTATAACTGTTTTGTTTATTACGAAGGTTTTATACAAGTTAGACATGATTTAAAGATTTATATTTAACAATCGATGAAATTAACCCATTAAATGATAAAGAAACTGCTTTGTTTAGCTAAAGTATTATTACAATTAGAAATTGTACTTGTTTCTAAACACATTTTTTTTGTGGACAATTTTATGAAAATTTAAGTATATTTCAAAATATTGTAAAAAACTATACTAATGTTATACAAAATTAGAAACATGATTGATCATTTTATTATCTTGTTGTACCATTGCCCATTCAGTATCCAAAGTGAGCTACAATACTATCTACTTATATATATATATATATATATATATATATATAGGTCTTAGATTTTTTCGTTTTGTGTTACCCAGATCGGTCTCGGGTCCAGTGCTTACCATGACAACTTTTTTTTTATGAGGTTGGCGGCCTCTTTTAATCTTGCATTTGCCCGTCCACATAGACTAAGCGCCCGTGCGTGGATAGTTTACAGCAAAGCAAGAAGTGAGCCGGTACAGTACAAAGGCGAACTGTACTGATAAAATGTTATCGACAGTGACCAGGATCCGAACCCACGACATCGCTGTCTTGGGCCCGAAGTCCGCGACGCTACCGACTGAGTCACCGACTCACTAAACCACCGGGTAATAACGTTTTACCTATATAGGAATAATCTAAAGGTTAAATACCTTGTTGACAACGTAATCCTTAGTACACTTACTACTTAAGTCTACCAAGGATTACGTTGGCAACAAGGTATTTAACCTACAGATTAGTAATTGTTAAGAAATCCGGAAGGCAACACCTCAGAAATGAAGCTATATAGGACATTCGCTAAGACTGAATCTCGTACATTGGTTACCCAGATAAGGTAGCTCCCGTTTGAAAACAAGTTTCGTGTTTTACCACTTTTTATAACGTAGGACAGCAGATATTAGTTATATTATTCTAACCTTAACTTTACAGCATGGACAATGCACTTACAATGCTACGAACAAGGCAGCCACTCTCTCTGACTACGAGCAAGTTTACGGAGATGAGATAGATTTGCGTGAGGCCGTGGCTAAGATTGGACCTGTTTCTGTCTCCATTGAAGGAAACCAGAGATCCTACTACCTGTACAAGAGCGGTAACGTTAATCATAATTACACATAATCAGTATTCCTTTGAATTCGTACATCGTGTGTTATGACACTCTTATTGGCCATGCGTTTCTTACTCAGTAGTTTACCAAAAGATAGCAGTGACAATTCTGCTAACAATATAAACATTGATCGCAATAAACACCCAGTAAAGCGAAATTTTCAATTTTTGAACCCAAGGAAAAAAACTGAAAGTTATGTTTTACTTGTGTTTTGCATTCCAGCCAATCGTCTGAGGAAAGATGCATTCAGTGATCGACTCCTTCTAGAGACTTGCCAATGGTTTAAGACCCGGGTCGGTAACAAGTAGAAGAAGTATCAGAAGACTGCTAGGTTTTATCATACAGAATACAGTAATACAAAATATTGTAGCTAGCTAATAAGCCACAATATTGGAGCTAATAATAATGTAAATATTATAGCTAATAAGCTAGCTCCTTCCTAATCTAGTTTTATTGCACGATTTAATGTGTAATGTTGTGGATTTAGGTGTATACAACGAGCATAAATGTGTGAGGGTGAGAAATGAAATTCCATGCTGTTTCTTGTTGGTTGTCGGGTATGGAACTGCCATGAAGGGAGGAGACTTCTGGTTGGCGAAAAGCTCCCGGGGAACCAACTGGGGAATGAATGGATATATCATGATTGCCAGGAACCACGAGAACATGTGCGGTATTGCCGACCATGCCATCTACGCCATATCCTAGGCCATCTCTCTTTATTATAGTCAATAGCCAGCTCAACGTATAACGTTTGTTATTATTTATTAAATATAACTATTTAGTAAAGTGTAATTGCTGTACGGTTGTGTTTTAACAACGACCTCATCCAACATGTCGAGAAATTGCTCTAGGTTCAGTAATTTGCAATATTTTTATGTTACTACTGGCATTGTTTTCATTGATCAGTTGCATTATTTTAATCAGATTTCTATAGGTCAGTTCAGAAGGTATTCGTTTTGGCATTTATAATAGGGATAATATCGACACTGGCTTGGTCTATTTTCTGGTCTGGGTAAAAGGCCCCCGCCCTCTGGTTGTTTATGCATGTTTATCCAAAAAATAATTATTACGGTCAATTTTGGTATCAGCTGAAATATCTATAATCTGACTAACAGTCTTTTACAATAGCTATTATTTTATAAATTACACATTTTTCATAACATTTAACACTTCAATTAGCAGCCGAATCATCTCGCTCACGCTTTCTTACAACCACAATTTAGTCTAATTCAATCTTCCTCAAAATGCCTTCCTTTTTATATTTTTATCTTTTATTCTTTGTTAAAAAATGTATATTTACATTTGTAGATGTTTAGTTATTTTGAGGGATAGAAGTTGGAATCATGTAACTCAGTTGATGTTGACTGGTGAAGAGGTGGATGTGAAGTGACTGCTGTGGGTGAAGTAGTGAATGTAGGCATACCTGAGGAAGTATTGTTGCTATATAAGGTACAGAAAACTTTTTTCAGATTTAATTTTTAACTGCAGGAATGAATTTGAACGGAAGGTGTTTTTGTACTCTTAGGACCTCACACGAAAAGGTAAATAAAATCAAAACAAATTTGTATAACAAAAAAATAATAATAACATGTATAATAGAGGTAGTTTTCAAATCTTACTGAATCATTAAACACTATACGAAGTTAATTATACTTGGGAGAACCCGTGCGTGGGAGTGAGTCTTTGAATAGGAATTAAAAACTTGTGTAACGCCACTGAGTTGTATTGAGTTTTAAATTCTTTATTTGCCTACGTCACTGCCACCACCTGTGTAACGAGAACAGAATAAATTAGAAGTGCCGCATGTCAAGTTTACATTAAATTTATACAATTTATAGTAGTCAGTTTTGACAAATCATTTGACATTAATCAAGATTGAGTAAAATACAGACAAATGTTGGAGCAAGCTAAAGCCGAAATTGTGTGATTAATTTAGAAAGAGTTTGGAAAAAGTTACATGTTAATACATGTTACATGTTACGCAGTACAGTACTATCTGTACCAACTCCTCAGCCCGAACTGCCCATTTTACTTCAGCTTCAGCACTCACCTTGCAACCAACGTCAGTCCAATAACTAGCTTGAAAACTACATTATTATGATCTCTATTATGAACTCTTTATGATCTGAATTATTATCAATACATAAAAATATAATATGAAATATATAATAGTAAAGATAAAATACTTTATTGCCCTTGGGAATGTACCATTCTACAAATATTACGTTATTGTTTAAACAGTTACTATTTTAAAATTGTTTTTTTTAAATTAGTTGTAAAGTTTATAACAGGTTTATAAAGTTTATAATATATATAATATATATATATATATATATATATATATATTTCTTTATGAAAATGCCAAATGAATTTTATATTGTTCTTGAGGATTTCTTGATAGAGTTATGAAAAATTAATCATGAAACGGTGCAAATATTCGTTGAATACACAATATGTTTTGGTCTCACCAACATATTTTTTACCAACATATTTAAAATATATGTTGGTGAGACCCAAAATTCCAAATTCTCGGCCTTCAAACAATTCTAAACACGGCTGTGAACCATGTCACAAGCCCCGATGTGGTATTTGCTAAATTATTATGAGTACCACAACTGAATGTGATAGCAAAGTTACAAACATGGTTTATCCGATTGTTGTTAGACCAACTTGTAAAACTCACAATGTGATTTATCAACTATAAGTGTAAACATTGTCCAAAATAATACAGTGGCCAGACTTCAAACTCTTTAAGAGTTCGAATGACAGGCCATCGTTTTGATTGCAACCTTAAACTGTAAGGCACAAGTGTCCGGGCAGCTTCACTCGGGTTGGGTCGTAGGTGATGCGGGACCAAATACTCGCAGAGTCTAGAGGGCGCCACCTCATTGGCTGTTGTGTGTAGACCTCCACCAACGGGGAAGAGAGGGTCTCAGCATGGTGCAGTACAACCCTAATAATATCCAAGACTCAGGAGAATCCGGTAATACCCACAATTAAAGAGGAGGGGAAACACCCTTAAACCCAAATTTAAGGAAAAACTTTTGTCTGTGTTAAATGCAAAATTGGGCAGTTCTTACAAAACCTAAAACCTAACTGAGTTGGGTGCAAACAAGTTATAGCAGTAGGCCTACCTTAAAAAATAACCTTACTTACAACTAGTGACTGGTAAAACAAATGTTCACAGAAGGCTTAGGCCTGAATCAAATAAAGACAAAAACTTGCTGAATGGTGAGAACCTAACTTAATTTAAAATAGAATTCAGAAATAAGTAAATAAGATTTCAGAACCAAAATGTTCAGAGTAAGCACAAATTAAACTACTGTAATAGACAGGAATTAGATATCAGCAAAGGCCACCAAAATTTAAGTTTAATTACCACAACTCAAACCATCTAGACTTTATGAAGTAAGTTAGTTAGGACAATAAATAACAAAAGAATGTAGAGCAAAAATTTAACTTTACTCTTCACTGAAACTCAAATCATTTCCAAGAACACCACAATACAAAATATGACAATAGGCTACAACAAAATTGAGTCACTGACAAAGTTTAAACGGTAGCCTACGATAAATAAACAAGATTCTTTAAATTGGCAAAAGTAAAATTGGATAGGTTCTCGAGGACAAGTTGCAAGTTTTTAAGATAAACAAAATCACAAGTATTTACAACAATTACAAAGTTACAAGTTTTACGATATGAGAAAAATTAATAGTTTTACGATAAGACAAAATACAAGTTTTACGATATGACAAATTGCAAGTTCAATAAATTGGCGAGAGTTAAATGGATAGAGAACCAATTTCAAATTCTTACGATGTAACAAAATCTAGATTTTACGATATGACCAAAATGACAATTTTACTATATTACAAAATTACAAGAAGGTGAATATATGACAAGTTTCAGTTAGGTGGTCACCCCTAACAACACAAATACACTTCAAACAAGTTTTGGACAACAATTAAATCTCATGGATGAATGAATCTTAAACGCTAATCGACAACTCTCGCTTAACTCAACCTAACCGCTCTTCGTCTCGGTCCATGAGATTGAGTAATGAAATGAAATGAAATGAAATGAAATGAAATGAATGAAATTAAATTAAATGAAATGAATGAAATGAAATTAAATGAAATGAAATGAAATGCTTTATTTCCGAGAACATGACACATGTATGGAAAAAGTCAAATAAACTAATACTAGGTTAGAGTACTAAAAATTGCGAAAAATACATGATTTGTTTGTTCCTGCAACACTCCATGCATAGAAAATAAAATAAAACCACACTTGCAAAACTCATAAAAAAACATACTTACAAGTTGTCAGGAAGTTCAAAAAACTCATGGATTGAGTAAAGTGGGTTAGCCAATAGGAACTCCCTCACCCTCTTTTGGAATTTATTGATTGGCAGGTTCCGAACTGTACAAGGCAATTTGTTCATTAATTTCAAGCTTAAGATTTCCTTACTAGCCTGGGTTTTCTTTAGTCTAACATAAGGTATGTTTAGATCCTGCTTATTCCTAGTGTTGTAGTGGTGGACCCCTCCTCTGAGCTCAAGAGTGCCAAGCTTCCTCTTACATGACATGAGACACTGCAAAATGAAGAGATTGTAAACTGTCATCAAGGACTCGGCAACAAAGATTGGTTTACAATGGTCCAGATAATCTGCACCATTCACAATCCTTATTGATTTCTTTTACAGAAGCATGACCCTCTCGACCACAGATGCGGAGCCCCACAAACGCAAACCATACAGAAGTACACTCTGAAAAAATGCTACATAGGCTGTTTTTAACCATTCCTTGGGTACAGAGTCTCTAAGTCTTCTCAGGAGACAAATTACCCTAGACAAGCGACTACAGAAATGAGAAATATAACAGTACCAGTCTAACTTTGGATCTAAATATAGGCCTAGTTATTTAACATTTGAAACTTCATGATCCATCTGAATTAAAGTGAAAACAATGGTTTGGGATTTACTTTCATTTAACTTAAAAAAGTTAGCTCGGAACCATGCTGATGCTATCCCCATGGACTCAGACATTTGACCATTTAGAGTTATCAGGTCTTTAGAGAAACTGAAAAGGGTAGTGGCATCAGCATAGCAGACGACATTTCCTCCAAAATTTGGAATGAGGTCATTGGTCATGATAATGAACAAAAGGGGGCCAAGTACAGACCCCTGTGGGACACCATGAGTAATCTGACAAGGGCTAGAGATATGCCCATTTATGAGCACCCTCTGCTCACGCCCAGCCAGGTATGACTCCATGAGCCTGAGTTCAGAGCCCTTTACTCCATAAAAATTCAATTTATCCAGCAGTATCCGATGGTTGACCGTGTCGAAAG